CAAAGTCGAACTGATTGATGTAATACATCCATCGACCGATCGTGCTAGTGATCGTATCTTGCATTTTGTAAAAGGTCAACGGATTGTTGTCCGTATTCCATTTAAAACTCTGACGGCCGAGAAGAAAGTGGCGCCACCATTTGAGAACGGTGACGAAGGCGAGTAGCTCTTTCTTCCTAGCGTCGTCGAGAGTGTTTACGAGAGACATCTTTTGGGAGAAGTACTCGACCGGATGCCAACCGTCCTCGTGACACTGTTCCAACACCGCACCAATACCGTATYCCGAAGCGTCYGTAGTCACTTGGGTGGGAAGGGTGGGGTCATATATACGGAGGGCAGGTGCGGCTTGCATTGCTGCCTTCAACGTAGTGAACGCGCCACGGGCTGTGTCGTCGAACTTGAAGGGCACCTTCGGGGACTGAAGTCTCGACATAGGAGCGGTCACTTTCGAGTATGACTCGACGAATCGCTGATAATATCCAGCCAAACCCATGAAAGAGCGTACATCCGTCGTGCAACGGGGTTCCGGCCAATCCACGATGGCTTGGATCTTGTCSGCTAAGGGACGAATGCCTTTCGGCGTGACAAAATGACCCAAGTACTCAAGCTCTTGCTTGGCGAATTCGCACTTCTCGAGATTCGCTTTGTACTTGGCTAGTCGCAAACGATCCAGAACAATGTGAATCTGTATGATGTGCTTGTCCAACGTCCTACTGTAAACCAAGATGTCATCAAGGTAGATGAGGACGCTGCGATCGAGCAAGTCGCGAAACTCAGTCGTCATCGCTGCTTGGAAAGTCGCGGGGGCATTGGTGAGGCCAAAGGGCATGACAACCCACTCAAAATGCCCGTACCGCGTCTTGAACGCGGTCTTGTACCGGTCTTGAGGCTGGATTTCAATCTGGTGGTAACCTGACTTCAAGTCCAACTTCGAGAAGTACGTCTCGCCGCCTAACCGCTCAAGAAGATCATCAATCCGAGGGATAGGGCCGGCGTTCTTTACGGTTTGTGCGTTAAGTGTTCGATAATCGATGCATAACCGTAGATCTTTGTTCTTCTTCCGGACGAAGAGAACAGGGGCACCGTATGGCGAGCAACAAGGGCGAATCCAACCCTTGTCGAGAAGGTCATCGAGTTGTGCGCGAAGCACCTCGAGTTCCTCTTCGCTCATGCGGTGGATACATCCACGCGGAGGGACGGCGCCAGCCTC